GCTACAAGTTTATTGTCTCGGTTTATGCACAATCCAAGCTAAATTCATTTTGGGGTTGCAAAAAGAGTGTTGAGATACATTCAAGGTACGCTTGGTTATGGAATTTTTTATGAGAAATTTGTTGATGCAAAGTTACTTGGATTTTGTGATAATGATTGGGGCGGATGTGTTGATGATATGAGAAGCACTTCTGGGTATGCATTTTCTCTTAGATTGGGCGTAATTTCATGGTCATTCAAGAAACAACAAACTGTGGCACAATCATCAGTTGAGGCCGAACATATTTTAAGATCATTGGCAACTACACAAGCAATTTGGCTAAGAAGAATTTTGGATGATTTTGGTGAGACGCAAGGTGAAACTACTCCAATTATGTGTGATAACAAGTCTGCTATTGCTATGACAAATAATCTTGTCTATCATTCTCGTACCAAACACATTGCTATCAAACATCATTTCATTATAGAAGCTGTGGAAGATGATGAGATTCAAATCAAGTATTGCAAGACTGAAGATCAAGTTACGGACATCTTAACCAATGCCCTACCAAGGGACAAGTTTGAACTTTTTAGAGAAATATTGCATGTCACAAAATATGGCATTAAGAGGGAGTGTTAAAATTATTACCATATTTACATTAGATACATTGGATATATTGGGTTCATGTATTCTTTGTATTTATGTATTTTTTTATATTCGTGTGTTTTATATTTATTAGGTTCATTGTCTAGATTATATTCATATTGCAAGACTGAAGATCAAGTTACGGACATCTTGACCAAAGCCCTACCAAGGGACAAGTTTGAACTTTTTAGAGAAATATTGCATGTCACAAAACATGGCATTAAGAGGGAGTGTTAAAATTATTACCATATTTACATTAGATACATTGGATATATTGGGTTCATGTATTCTTTGTATTTATGTATTTTTTTATATTCATGTGTTTTATATTTATTAGGTTCATTGTTTAGATTATATTCATGTACCTAGTTAGTTGTAAGGTTATTTATTGAACTTATGTATAACTTTTTCTATATAAAAGGATGTAAACCTATGGGCAAAGAGAAGAATAAGAGAAAAAAAATTCAAGATCAATACAAGTTGAATTCAATACAAAATAATAGTTCATTCTAGAGAGAGTTTTGTCAAAAGCTAACAGAATCACAGCCAAAAAATTTTGAGTTTTGGACACATCATAAAAGCATGTTTTTTAGAACAATGGTGATCAAATGGGATGAAGTTTGTTGAATTGGTGTTCAAATTTTTTTTTATAAGATGGACATCTCCTTGAGCTCCCATAAGCTTGACGTTGTTTGATCATCCGCGTCTTCCTAAAACAGATGTTAGGAGCAAAAAAAACTTTCATAGAACCAGTCACAGATGTAAGACAAAAAGCCGCCTCCAAGTCTAGGACCACAAACAAATTTCACAAAACCGGTAATAGATGTGAGATGGAGATAAATAGCCACTTCCTTGTCTCACATTTGTGATGGGCTTTGTGAAATTTTTCTATGCTCCTAGACATAGACGTGGCTCTTTGCCTTACATATGTAATCGGTTCTGTGACAATTTTCTGTGCCATTAGACTTATTGCTCCCCAAAATGGTCTGGTTGTGATTCAGCTTGTCAATCTAATTGTGGCACGCACAATTTTCATAAGAGGACTGTTGATGAAATGCTGCAATTCTTTCTTCTTCTTCTTTTTTTTTTTTGGGGTTGAAATTGATCAATTTTGGGTTTGATTTGTTTGTTTGGTTTTGTTTTTTGGTTTTTGGGTTTTGATTTTTCTGGTTTTGGTTTTTGGTTTTTTGGTTTTGATTTTTGATTTTTGGTTTTTGGGTTTGATTTGTTTGGTTTTGATTTTTGGTTTCTAGGTTTTGATTTTTGATTGGTTTTGGTTTTGGGGTTTCAAACCCATTTTTTCCAAATTTTTGGGTTTGATGGTTTTGGTGATTGTGAATTCTTAATGAATTCTTAATGAACATAGAGACGGAGATAGATTGTGAACTTTATTCTGCTGCATTTTGTAATGGAGATTATCTCATTAAGTTCAAATAATGTGTTTACTCTTGTTGGTGTGAACATCTATCCTTGGATTTGTGATGGTGTGAAAGAGAGTTGAAATTCCAATTGAATAGGTTGTTGCAACACAAGATGTAAAATAATGGGTATGAATAAATTGGTATTTATTATCACCCATCTCTCGTGTTGTGTATATTCTAAATATTTTTGAGGTTTTAATGAAATTTCATTGGAAAAGGCTTACATTTGTGATTAGGGATGGCAATGGGGTTAATGGGATAAATATTAATTCTCCATCCCCATTTTTCTATAATTATTTTTTTCCATTCTCCATGGGTACTATCCTCCCCATCTCCTAATGGGTTTGGATTTTCCCCAACCCAACTTGACCTTTTTTATTTTTATTTATTTATTTTTTTAAGGTTCACAACTATTTTTTTTTTAAAGATTCACAACCAAAGCTAAATATACATTTAATCTTATTTTATTTTATTTGGCTCAACAACAAAATCAAATACACATTAATTAACATTGTCACATTATTTTTATCAAATTTTATGTATATTTAGAATTTTTTTAATTTATTTTGAAAAATTCTATTCCTACAAAAAAAATCCATCTTCTTTTTAAATTTTTTTAATTTTATGTATCTCTTTCTCTTCTCTCTTAATTGATTTTCGATAATCTGAAGGTGAGTTGTTACTTTCGTTTCCATCTTCTTCTTTTTCTTTTTCTTTTTTTTTTAATTTTTATTTATAAAATGAATTTTCTTATTTCAATATCTCTTGTAATTGTTTTATTGGATTTCTCTCTGATTTGATAGTAACCTTAGATTGAATTTCTCAATTTTCATCTTAACTAATGATCACCTTTAATTGAAATTTTGTAAATTTTTGTCTTCAATTTTCATGTTTTGGTTATGATTAATTATGTTTTTTTTTTTATATCCATAGTCATAATCTTGTCGCCGCTAGATCGTCGCTATAGCAAATTGCCATTGCTGTAGTGAGAGGATGAGAGAGAGTGAGAATTAGAACTCTAATTGTAGACAGAGTAGTGAAAAATAGGGATAACAATGGATAACCTATCTTGTGGGTATCTATGGAGACCCAACCCAAATGCATGGGTTTTCCCTTTTTTTTCTTATCCATCGGATAGGGTAAGTGATGTCTTTAAATCTCCCCATATTTTTTTTTGGGAACGTTGGAAAATAATTTCTCCATATATTTTCACTATTCTATTTACAATTAGAGTTCTCATCCTCTCACTACAGCAACGGCGATTTACGATGGCGACAATCTAGCGATGACAAGATTATGACTATCGATCAAAAAACGCGCAATTAATCATAACCAAAACATGAAAATTGAAGACAAAAATGTATAAAATTTCACTTAAGGTGATCACTAGTTAAGAAGAAAATTGAGAAATTTAATCTAAGGTTACCATCAAATCAGACAAAAGTCCAATAAAACAATTGCATGAGACATTGAAACAAGAAAATTCATTCTATAAATGTGTTGGCTAAAATGTTGGCTTATTTTTCCTACGAAGGAAAATATCATAAATAATAATAATAAAAATTGCAGATTTATGGTGTTAACAAAATGTAAATATATATTTTTTTTAAAGAAGAAGAAGATGGAAATGAGAGCAACAACTTACCTTCAGATTATTGAAGATCAATTAATAGAGAGGGGAAGGAGATTAAAAAAATTAAAAAAAAAAGATGGAATTTTTTTGTAGGAATAGAATTTTTCTAAATAAATTAAAAAAATTCTAAATATACACAAAATTTGACAAGAATAATGTGATAGTGTTAATTAATGTGCATTTGATTTTATTGTTGAGCCAAATAAAATAAAATAAGATTGAATGTATATTTAGCTTTAGTTGTGAACCTTAAAAAAAATAAAAATAAATAAGGTCAAGTTAGGTTAGGAAAAATCCAAACCCATTAGGAAATAAGGAGAATAGTACATATGGGGAATGGGGAAAAATAATTATAGAAAAATGGGGATGAGAATTAATATCCATCCCATTAACACCCATTGCCATCCCTAGTAAAAACATATGGAGAAATTATTTTATGATGTACTTAAAAAAAAAGAAAAAGAAAATAAACATATGGGGAAATTAGTGGGTACCTATCCCCGCCCCATCCCCAATAGAGATTTAAAGAACATCACTTACCCTACCTGACAGACAAGAAAAAAAGAAAAAAATCCATATATTTGAGTTGGATCTTTATAAATATCTACAGAATAGATTATTCATTGTCATCTCTATTTCTGATGATCATGTATTTATTCAGTTTTCATTAATCTAATTTTAAAAGTTTATTCCATAACTTTGTGTGTATAACTCTGCAGTGCTCATTCTAATATATTACAGTCAAAAGAGGCAACTTCAAGTAGTCTTCCTCTGATGATATAAATGTACCTACCCCTCCTGCATTCCTAGGAGTAGGAATCAAAATTTGTATCTGCTTTGTTTGCCTATTGTTCATTATTTAAGTATTTTGATTTAGAAAAATAATTGAGTTTTTTTTTTTTTTGGAGACTTTTTGAATGTCAATCATTGATATATATATATATATATACACGTAGAATCCATTCATGTATGTGTGAAGTTTACACCATCAATAATTGAGATTCAAAAAGATTGTGATGGTCTAAAAAAAAAGAAGTCTCAATCATTATTGTTTGATTTATTTAATCTTTGTCAAATTGATTAGCAGCCAATGGCCAAAAGTGCATATTTGCATATTAATTAATAATAATGCCAAAAGCCCAAAACCATTTGCCACCTTACTAATGTTAGCCCATTGTATCTGTACATATGAACAGATAAACTGGAATAAAATATAATAAAAGTCAGATTGGCTCTTAATGGCCCTGAAAGGTTAATCTTTCCTAAACTATAGAGTTCTTCATAGCTCCTTTGTGTTTCTCCACCTTCACAATAAAAATCAGATCGGCTCTTTATGGCCCTGAAAGGTTAATCTATATTTAACTATAAGAGTTCTCCATAGCCCCTTTGTGTTTCTCCACCACCCCACCCTCACCCTCACCCTCACCCTCACGCTCTTTCACTAAACTGTTTCTTGAAACAAAGACATGAATCTTTTAAGGACCAATGCTCCTGCTTCAAATGCAACTATGCTCTTATCCCATGGTTAGTCTTCTTCTTCTACTTCTTCTTCTTATGCCGTATTTACATTGTGTTTGGTTGGAGATTTGGGAAGGAATTTGAAACGGAAAGTCTTTGGTTGGAAATTTCGGAAGGAATTTGCAAAAAGAAAGAGAAAAGATAAGTAAAATGGGAATTAAATATATTTATATTTTACCTAATTTTACATATATTTTTTCTTTCCCTTTCCAAATTCTCTTTAAATCCGGCTTAGTAGTCTCACTCGCTCTGGTATCTTTCTTTTTCTTGATTAATTTGCTTTTTTAGTTGAAATTATTGTTGATTGTAGGAGGAGCTCCTATGGGTGCTGCTGTTGATTTCTCCAAAATTTATGTAACAAATAAATCTGGGTTAAAATTCTTAGACCGGTCCCCCGACTTCTCATGGGCCCGGAGGGATGGATCAGGATGTAGACTTATCTGCAAAAGTTGTACAATGGTTACAAGTAAGAGCCCTCTCTCTCTCTCGGTAAATTTTTGGGTTTCATTTACTGGATGGAATGAACTAGGTTTAAATTGATAGAAAGGGAGAAAGGAAATCAAAATAGGGGTTGTTTTAGGGAACAGGGTTATGGATGTTAAAAAGAAGAAATTCATGGAAAAAGAAAATGTGATAGTTTTAGGAATTCTAAAATTCCTTGGCGGTCACACCTAGAATTTAGTTGCATTACACAATCAACAATAAAGTTTCAAAACTATTGAAATTTATTAAAGGAAAAAATTTGAGAATTTAAAAAATCTCTCACAATTTAACCCAAAATGATATTATATGTGTTAATTTTTTATTAGTCATACATTCAATTATATAGGACCCACCACCACCTTTGCCACATAACAAATTATTAAATTTTGACTTTCAAAGACTATCTAAGACCAAATAAAAATTAATTTAATAAGAAAAATGCTTCGGACCCCACTGGGGGTCGACTCCAGTGAGGTGACGCGCCGTTATTGGACAAAAAAAAACTGTTTTATTTTTTTTATTTTTTTTTTTGAGTTTCAGCCAATGGGAGCTCGCCACCTCACTGGGGTGCGACCCCCACTGGAGGTCTGCAGTGTGATTGAATTTAATAATTTGACTTACAACTTTACAAGACAAACCATGGATTGCCTACACAACTGTATCCATAAATAAATTACTAAAATATTTTTAATCTTAAAACTAACCAGTAACTTTATAAACTTAAAATAAACATAAATAAGACTTTTTGTAAGATTAGAAACATAATTATAAATAGTTCGAATCCATCTTAATTGAGTTCGTCTCGAAACCAAGCAATTTGCAAATATTATGCTTCTCTGATTTTGGTTTTCCTTTCTTCAATTGTGGACTGCATTATTGTGATAATACATTTTGTCGTGGGTGTGTCTTGAATTTGACCCAGATGATGCTTAGTAGGGCAAATGACATGTCCGACCCAATATTTGAATTTAGGTCTATTTTGACCCAATTTGATACTTTTAGGTCCATGACATCTATATATTGAGTTATTTAGGGGTGGCAGGATTCATTATGATCTTGTTAGCTGGGGTTTGAGAGAGTGAGCTGGCTTGTGTGTTTTTCTGTTTTATATTTCTTATATTTGCCTTTGCACATTCTTTACAAAATGGTTTTGGTTGCAAAGGTGTTGAGAGGAATGGAAGATTAGAAGTGAAAGCTTTTACAGAAGAGCAGGAAGCTCTGGTGGTCAAGTCATGGAATTCAATGAAGAAGAATGCTGGTGAATTGGGTCTTAAGTTCTTCCTGAGGTTACCAATTGTTTCTTTTCTTTGTCTTTGTCGTTTTGGTTTTACTTTACTTTGATTAAAAAAGATTTGTCTCAAATTAACATCATATTAATTTTTCTTTGTCTTTGTTGGTTTGAATTTGTAGGATCTTTGACATTGCACCATCAGCAAAGAAGCTGTTCTCATTCTTGAGAGATTCAGATGTACCTGTGGAGCAGAACCCAAAGCTCAAACCCCATGCTATGACTGTCTTTGTCATGGTCAGCTTTTATTTATTTCTTCCTGTTTTTATTAGCTTACTTAGTGCCATTTTGGGAACATGGTAAAAAGCCACGTTTTTGGACAAAATGTCCAAAAACGTGGCTGCCAAAAACGCCAAAAAAACCATTTGGCAAGTGCTAAAAACGCAGCCTTAAAATTACAAATTAGGGCCTATGAAAAATAAATAAAAAAATTCGCGTTCCCCCCCCAAAAAAAAAAAAATGATTCATTTTCTTCTCTAAAGATTTCCCTCCAAAATATTTTTATTAACAAGTGAATAATTTTTGTTCATTAATAAATATTTAATTTTCAATTTTTTGTTAAATAAATTTATTATTATACTTATTTTTAAGGTATGATTTCACCTTTTTTAATGATACCAATTTTATAAAAATTAAATTTACAAATTAAAAGTTATTTGTAATATAATCAAAAATATATAATGAACAGTGTTTTAGAGGTGCTCTTCTATTTTTCATCCTCCCTCCAAATATGGAGGATCAATCCATCCTCATTCCAAATTGAGATGGATTTAGAGGATTGGTTAGAGGTAAAAATCTTTTAAAAATGAAGAAATGGAGGATGGGTTGGAGATGCTCACCATGCTAAACTAGAGGAACTAAAGTCGTTTACATTAGGCATGTGCACAAGTTAGTTTGAGTCGGTTTTGGTGTGAAAATTAAAAATCAACTAAATTGACCTTGGTAGATTGAGAAATTTGCAACTTGTTGCCAAACTGTCATTCCTCAAAACCGATAGGTTGGTTTGGATATTTTGAACTTTGAGTAGGTTGGACGTGTTAAAAATACAAAATGGTGCGAATATCAGTGAACATGCAATCATATATATATTTTTTTTTCACAATTTTGATCGAAAAAATTATTGTTAACTTTCTGATCACAAATAAATCATTTTTCACAAATCAAAAAGAATCAAATTAGGGAAGAAAATATGTGATGAAAATGAACGGTTGGTGTCTTTGAGGAATGGTATTTAGTTTAGAGAATATAGAAGAATTGTGTGTGGGCAAGTACAAGGTAATTTTGTGTACATATATATAGGCTGATCGGATCTGTTTGTATGCGGATTGATAATTTTTAAATTGCATGACAACCAACCAACAATTTTTATCATGTAGTCACCCAAACCAACTCGCACACCTTCTCAAACCACATGGGTTGGCTAGATTGACAGTTTAGCTCTTTTTTTATTTATTTATTTTTTTCATTAACCCTACAAAACAAGCCTTAACCCGTCCTAGGCCACAAATTCAAGCTCAACTTGTTGCAAATAGGATTGTGAAGAACCACATGTAGAGGCTTGACCAGGGTTGTTCCGGATCAAACATGTCAAAATTTTTAATGTGAAAAACACCAAAATTGAACCTAAATTTCTAGTGATGTTGCTTCATACTTGACAACTTATAAGCCAATGTTTGTTTTGGATTTATACAAACCATTGAGGCAAAATCCTTAAAAAGGACAAATCTAAAGCGTGTTGAATGTGAAATGAGATGATATTTGGGAATTCAAGTCTCAATATGTCGCATTGCAGACCTGTGAATCAGCAGTTCAACTTCGGAAGGCTGGCAAAGTCACTGTCAGAGAGTCTAGTTTGAAAGATATGGGTGCGACTCATTTGAAATACGGTGTTGTTGATGAACATTTTGAGGTAATTATGATTCTAGTTCGCTAAATTAACACATAAGTTTTTTCAAACATATTGAAAATTAGATTGGCTCGATTTAGAGATTGGTAAAGTTCACATTTTGTTCATGTTTTATAGGTCACAAAGTATGCATTGCTGGAAACAATAAAAGACGCAGTTCCGGAAATGTGGTCGCCGGAGATGAAAAATGCATGGGGAGAAGCTTATGATCAGTTAGTTGCTGCTATCAAGAATGAGATGAAGCCTTTTTCCCAACTTTCATAAGAAAAAGTAATTTGAAAAAATAGAAAAATTTAAGACAATCTTGTTCCTTCTTGCAAATCTCTAACATGGAAATCTGAGTTTTTTCCTTGATTTTTGTATATCTATCTTTGATGATGCTTGACTAGGTAAAAGAAAATCAATTAGAATAGGTGGAGAAAAGTATCAATGGTGATGATTATGTTCTGCAATGTTATTGTTGTGTAATGTTACAATGATTATCTATTTTTACCATCTTATTTTACCATTTTATGTGTTAGTTTTGTCTTCAATATTGTGTTGAAAAAAAGTAGGATGAAAAGCATAACATATGGTAAATCAATGTGGCAAGTGTAACATTATTGTTTTACTATTATATGTTGTTATGGTCACTCTATAAAGCATTAGTAGAGCTGGATCGGGCTCCAATCCAAAATACCTGAATCTAGTAAGAGAAATTTGATCCCAAATCCAAAATTGGATAAATTTGATCACATCGTAGTTTCTCTCTCTAGAATGACAGCCTCTCTGTTGGTTTGGTAGCTGTCTAGGGTTTATCCCTTCCCTGTTCTTTCTCGGGATTTCCCTTCAATGATGAGCTTCCCTTTTGTCTTGATTCTCTCTTCCTTTCTTGGACTCCGTGCCCTCTTTTCCTGGTTACTTTGATAGAGAGTTTTGACTTACTCGAAGGCACTGATGAGAATGAGGATGTCTTTGGAAGGTGTTTGGTGGGGAAAATTCTAGCTCCCAAAATTTTAAATAAGCAAGCGGTTCTCAACATTATCCACAATGCATGGAAAACTCGTAAACCGGTGCGTATCTCGTCTTGGAACGATAATGTTTACTTATTTCAGTTTGAAGAGCTTGCAGACCGTCAGAAAGTTCTTGAGGATGCTCCTTGGTCGGTTATGGATAGTCTTCTTGTGCTCCAACCCGTCCAACCTGGAATGGTCACATCAGAGTTGGAGTTTCACTGGTGCCCTTTTTGGGTTCAAGTCCATGGGTTGCCGATCGAAAAGTTAACCAGTGGGCATGACGAAACCATTGGACGGCGTAACCATTGGACGGCGTATTGGGTGGTTAGTCAGTATGGAGGCCCATATGGAAGGGCTCCTACTGCAACGTAACTTTTTGACAATTCGAGTTGAGGTTGATGTTACTAAGCTGTTGTTGCAAGGTTTCATTCTCCATCGCAAAGAAGAAAGTGAGGTTCCGGATGGTGCAGGTATCAAAGTTCTCTATAACTATGAGAAGTTAGCTGAGTTTTGCTATGATTGCGGTAGGATAGGCCATGACCGGAATGCTTGTAAAGTTGTCTCTCGTGAAGATGGTCTCAACTCGGGTTATGGCTCGGACATGTGCACCGGTGTAGCTCGGAGTCTGGGGCCTTCGACTGAGCCTTTTTGACGACCGTTTCATGCATTTGAACCACGGGCTCCATCCCTGTTACAACCCAGACAGGTCTTGGGGGAGCAGCCGGTGGCGCATGTGGGGACTGCGAGTGAAATACCACAGGGGGAGCATGTGCTGCTAACCTCGGAGGTGTCTGTACGACCAAGTAGTGGGGTGGTGCATGGATGTACGTCTACCAGAGTTTGTGTACGTGATGGGGAAGGTGCGCATGGCACAACCACTACTCTAGAATTTTCAGCGATGCTAGCACTTCAAGCTAAAGGAAACCATCTTGGTTTGTCTAGGCCAGGATTGCTAATGGGGCCAAATCTAGTTATTGGGTCTCATGCTCATTGGGCTACAAAACAGCCTCTGATCTAGTTGAATACAACATTAGCCCCCGCTTTACTTAACCGACTTGCTAGTGGAGGCCCTTAGTATTTTGTTACTGAGCCTTCCAATTCACTTCCACCTCCCAAAGCCCACTCTTATGAAAGCCTGGCCCTTTCGCTGAAGTCTTTAGGCCTCAAGAGATTGCATCCTCCGTTAGCCCATCTATGGAGGATCCATCAAGTAGATCTATAGAGGTGCCCATTTCGCAAGCCTTCATGGACTTATCTCTTAAACATAAGTTTTTTGAAGAAGCCACTGACGGTCTCCACCCTTCTAAACTTCGAAAATGCTTGGACTCAAAAGCTAAGCTTGCAATAACGCCTCCTACAGGCCAGGTTGCCGAGCACCTGTTCGCCTCCTATAATGTCAAGCGACAGAAATCTGGTAGGAAGATAGGCCGACCATGGAAAAACTTACTTCTGGATGTTCGGGTGCATGGTGTTAACGGGATGGAACGCGATTTGGCTTTGCTACCTGTCCCTAGGGTGGATGATTTAGATACATGTTCTAATATAGCGACCCAGGTTTTTACCCTGACTTTTGTTGTGTTTCGGACTCGGATTCCATGGCTGTATACTATTGTTTATGTCTTGTTTCCTTCATTTAACTCTTTGTATTTGAGTTTTGGATTATATTGGGCGTGTTTGAAACAGGTTGGTTGTTACTTGGTCTAGAATGTTGTTGCCCAAATTTTGGCTTCTTGGCTCGAGCGAGGCTTTTTGCGCTCGAGCGAGTCTTGTGATCTGCTTCTTCGCTCGAATGAGGCTTCTTGCGCTCGAGCGAGCTTTGTGAAATTGTTTCTTCGCTCAAGCGAGACTTCTTGCGCTTGAACATGCGTCTACATTGGTGAGAGACCTGAAACTTTGTATTCTATGCTCGAGTGACGCTTCTTGCGCTCGAGCGAGGCAACCTGTTTGTGTCTGGTCACTCAAACGAAAACTCCTTCGCTTGAGCGAGCCTATCATACATCAATTCACAACAGTGCCGTTTTGCTTCATTTTTCTGATCCCTTTTCACTCAAAAACCCTAAATCAGCTCCTTCTCTCTCTAGGGTTCGACTTTTCTTTACAAATACACCTAGATCTAAGTATCTCTTCACCCTAGGGTCTTTGGAAAAGGGTAGAGGGCTGCAAGAGCTTCATTTTGATCCAAGAAGATATTGGTTTCGTCATCTTTGGAGTTTCGATCTTGCTTGCCCGTCTTCTACACTTAAGGTAGGGATTTTCTTTGAGTTATATATATGTTTTTGCAAGATCTAGATGATTTTGAAATCATCCTTTGATTTGCTTTGAAAATGGGTAGTTGGTTCAAGAAGATGAGTAATTTTTGAAAGTGGGTTTACTTCATTGTTTCCTTAAAAATATCAATTGAGGGTTTTGAACTATATTGATTGAAGAAAAAGGATTTTGGTGAGATTTTTCTCAAATGTTTGAAGATGGATGGTTTTGATGAGAAAACCTAGAAATTGAGGATTTTTAAAAGAAGTTGAAAATCCATGGTTGATATTGTTATATTTGTTTTGAATGCCCAAAATAAGTGATGCTTGGAAAATTTCTTGTTTATAGTGTATAAATGATAAATTTTGAGAAATATGAGAGTTGTTGTTCATTTCGAAAATTGTTATTCAAAATGTTGATTAAGTCTTGAAATGGCTAATTTGTTGAAAATGTTCGAAATATGGAAGATGTGTTATCCCTCAGATGAATTGAAATAAATGTATATTTATTCATCTTGTGAAATTGCATGGATAGGAGAAATGAGAATTTTGATCCCAATGGTAGTATTGTGTGGAAGAATTGGAAATGGAAGAATTGTTGCATTGTATTGATTATTGTTGCATTGACATATCAATTCATTTGATTACATTGAACTTTGAAAGTTGATTTGAAAACCTACATTGGGAAAAGAATGTTAAGAAATGAGTTTTCATGAAATGATTTTCGGTAAATACGGTCGTAAGTCTTGACAGGTGGTGTAGATGATAGGTGTTGAGCCTTCCAGTTGACACTGGTAAAAATGACAATTGATTGGTGTTGAGCCTTCCGGTTGATACCGGTAAAAATGATAATTTGGTAGTATTTGTATATTCTACTTACAGCCATCGACCTAGGGATTACCAGAGTTGTATTTATCGCCCCTTTGGTTAAAGCTGATAAAAGTTGAACAGTTGAAGTTGCACGACATCATTGAGTATGATGGTTTTTAAAAGATGAAGATATGTTTTATTTTGAAAATGGCATGGCATGGCGTGTGTATTCATTTCTTGAGAATTGTATAAAATGTATATACTTTGTTCATGATTTCCTACTAGGCGTTATGCTCACCCTACGGGATTTTGGTGCAGGAAAAGTCGTGGTGAATCTCCCTAACTGAGGGCGTGGAAATGTATGCGCTGAGAGCACAATGTTTTCATTTTGCTGTGATTCTGATTATAAGCCAATGGCTTTGTATGTGTGGGTTTGAATAACCGTTTCGTGTAACTAGGCTTAAGCCTTGGAAACTTGTAAACCCTTTGGGGTATTTATTTGTTTATTTATTTATTGTTGGATTAAATATGTAATCGCATGAGGAACTATTTGTATCTTGTAATACAAGTGTGGAGATTTATTTCGGGTTTTCCCTTAAAGAGCCATGATTGTTGCATTATCATTTGGGCTGGAAATTTGGGGCGTTACAACTTGGTATCAAAGTTACTGGGTTTGAATACTTGAAACTCATGGGAAGTGGTTATTTTACCACAATGGGTTCATGTTGCATGATAGGTTGCATAATAGGAAAATGTTAGTGTGACTATGTGCTAACATATTTATGTGGCTATGTGGGTATGTGATTGGACTTTTGGGATGTTGTTTGCGCCTGTTAAATTCCTTGAGGTCTTTTTAGAAGGTACTTGATCAATACTCGTTCTACTAAGAATTCTCGATTTTTCGTGGGATGAATTTCATCATGAAAGAATAATCCGTATGTGTTTACATGACTAAGTGCTTATATGGAATGAAATTGAAATGTCTATATAGTAGTGAAATGTATAGAATTGCGGTGATTAAACGTGTGAGGTAAATTATGGGCACGTATGGGTTAGTGTGCTAAATCATTTCTATTGTCCTTTATAGGATGTCAGGAAGAGGTTAAACTCGTGGTGGTAGAGGCGGGAGACGTGATAGGGCTCGTCAGGGTGTGCATGAGGTACCGGTCCATGAGGTTCCGGTACAAGAGAAAGAGTTAGGCCAAGCTAATATGGCCGAACAAGCGGACCTAGTGGGTCAAACCACAATGGGGGCCCTAGCTAGAGAAATAACAGGGGCTATGAACTTGTTGAGGGCGGAGAATCAAGCTCGAGAGAACACCTTATAGGCAAGAGCGATTATCCTTACTAGGGAGTTTTTACGGGCCAAACCGGATGAATTCCATGGTGACCTCGAGCCTAAGAAAGCGGATGAGTGGCTCGAACAAATTGTGAAGACATTTGAGATGCTTCACATT